GTATCTATGGGTATGTGGAGATGTGCACATTGACATGCACACAGGTATATTCTTGCTGTCAGCTGAGAGCCTAGAAGCAAAAACATTTCAGTGCCAATAAACACAACTAACTCCCAAATCTTAGCTTTGTATACCATTCTCTAGCAAAAGGAACCAGGTTTCCCTGGAGAATGAGTAATCATGGGACCAGAGCAAAATACACATAAGATGAGCCTTAAAGCACCTTAGATTGCAAAGAAGTAAAAAAGTAATCAAAAATATAAACCAATGACAAAAGTATAAACCAAAGGCTGATCAAAACATATAGTGTATTTAAAGTTTTTTAAAGTATTACTGTAAGACATTTTGCATGAAAGGCAGATTAATCTCCCTCAGAATCTTCCCTATCACTTCAAACACAGCCCTTATGCTTGCCATTTTCTACAGCAGTACTGAAAGCCATTTTTTGTGAGCACTTTTAGGATGTGTGATCGAAATGACAGAGCACCACTGTGGAGTGCCATCCAACAAGAAGACAGGTTTATAAGCACATGACTATGTGCCCTCATCTACCTTATTCACCTAGGGCCAGCCAGATAGCACAGTAGACTGAAGTGCCTGCTTAGGCAGATCACAGCGGCCGGGGTTCAATTCCAGGCTGTGCTGGGTCCCATCCCAGAGCTTGGGAGGCTGAAAACAGAATAAGTAGGAGTCAGATCTACGTAGTAAGACCCTGTAGACCCTGTCCTAAATATATATTTTTCTAAAGTAAGTATACCTTATTCATCTAATCAGGTATCTTATGACTTCTGGCTCTTCCCCAAAGTTAGTATCTCCAAGGAAGGGAAATGTTTTGAATTGATTCAGGGCATCAGGTAGCTCCAACAACCAGAGACACACAGGGAAAAGGGCTTCTAGAGCTGTTTCAGAAAGTGGCAAAAGTGACAGGATTAAATGTGTGAAGCAATTGGGTATATTTTGAGGGAAGATTAAATGGCAATGTGTCTTCTGCTATAATAGATTTTTAAATTTGATTCACCATATTTTTTACCCCATCTCATCCATCGAAAAGGACTACAGAAGCCAACTAAAAGAGCTCCCTGTAGCCAAATCTAAAATAACCCAACCAATAAAATTGACATAGATCCCACCCTTAAGTACACAGAGTGGAACTTGCCCCTCCTGTGTGGGCTATCCACAGTGACTCTCTTCCAAAGGGAACAGAATACAGAGGGAAAAGAAAAAGAAATGACCTTACAGAGGTAAAATTACACATACATGACCTCAAGCTAGGATCAATATAAATCCTTTCAAGATCTGCATCAGTTCAACCATGAAAATATCAGACAAATCCCAGCTAAAGAACATCCTACAAAACACTTGACCAGTAATCTTCAGAAGTTCCAAGAAAGCACTGAGAGGTCATCACAACCAAGAGGAGTTCAGTTACTAAACATAACAGGGGACTCCTGGGTGGGAGCCTGAAATAGGAAAGGTATATGGGGGGGGGGGGAGAAGGTGGAAATCTGAATAAAGTATGACTTAGTAATAATGTATACTTACTGGTTCATTAATTATGACAAATGGACCACTCTAATATATTACCAAAAGCGTAAAATGGTTATAGGGTAGACAGAAATTGTCAGTATTATCTTCATAATATTTCTGTAACTTCAATAGATAAAGAGTTTACTTTTTTAAATATAACATTTATGATGGACTACATACTGGTGTCTTTATTTAAGCGCTAGGTGTCAAGGCCAGGCATATAATTTGAGCACTCAGGAAGCTGAGGCAGGATGATTACTTTTGAGTTCAAGGCCAGGCTGGGCTACAAAATGAGTTCAAGCCCAGCCTTAACTGCATAGTGAAACTCTATCTCAAAAAAGACAAGTAAGTGCTAGATCTTAAACCCAGGAATTGGTGGGCAAACGCTGCACATTGAGCTACATCTCCAGGCCTTGAAACATTATTTAATGCATCTAGAGTACAAAAATGCATAAAATATTCTAGGCATTATAGCACATACCTTATAATTACAACACTCTGGGAGACTGAGGCAGGAGGATTGCAAGTTCAAGCCCAGCCTGAACAACTTAACAAAACCTTGTCTTAAAATGTAAATAAGTAAGTAAGTAAGTGCTAGGGATATAGCTCAGTGCAAAGACCCTTAGATTCAATTCTGAACCCTCTATTCGGGGGGGGGGGAATCTCTAAAATACAGTCTTTGTCCTTAAGAAACTTGTTGGCTCACTGTGAAGTAAGCAAATGCTCATGAAACAAGTGTAAAATACAAAAATAAGAAAACAAACAAATATAGATAAAAATATACTAGAAATATGAAGGTTTAGAATCTTCAGGGAAGGCTTCAATGAGGTAATAAAATTTGAGTTTGTACCTTAAAATTACTTCAGTGCACCAAAGTAGAAACAAGATAAACAAGCAAAGAACCATCAGAAAAATGAATTTAAAAAAAAAAAGAAAGAAATTTAAAACTTTATCCCTCAAAAGTGAGAAGTGAAATGGAAGTCATAGTACAATGTTCAAGTACTTTTAACAGTCGTGTGACAGAAATAATAGTTACATCACATACCCATTTAACTTACAAGCTGACCTCTGGTAAAAGTGACCAATGCTGAAGGACAAAAAAAGTGACAGCTGCTTAAGTACAGCCATAACAGGAAATGCCAAGACATGGAAAGACAGGAAGCAGGTGGCCAAGTTCTTTCCCATAACTTTCCAAGACAAGTGTTTGTCAGTTCAGTGAAGCAAAAATCTACATTCAAACCTGCAAACATTTACTGACCATGTTCTGTACAACATCCTTTATACTAGCTTAATATTCAACAATTCATCTACATGCCTTTATTAATGCAACAGAGGCTTAATGTAAAAATAGAATTTAATAACTCTACAGAAACAGAAACATGTGAGAATACTCCATCATCCCCAACTCTAATAGGGAGCAGGTAACTTTTAAAAAGCAAAATAACTTGAAGCCTTAGACATAATAATTTATTACTACATAATTTATTTCCCAGGCTTCTTCCTTTAGCAAAGTTCACTGCATCTTAGCCTTTAATATGCATAAAGCCTGTGTATGATTATATACATAAAAACATCCACACTATACTTTCTCAGCAACTTTGGGATTCCCAAATACAGTTACCCTCCTCTGTGATTTCTGCCAGGCATGAGTTTGAGGACCTAACTCTGGGATGAGGCTCATTCTGTGGTGGAAAGGCCAAATCCTATATGGAAAATACTTCCATAATTACATCTGAAGCTGCACAGGATCCCTCCAGATGAGGCGCTTTCAGTCACTAAAGGTGTACACAAAAGGTGAAAAAGCACTGAGAACATTTTAGAAAAGAGCTGAGTGAGGAGCTCCCTCAAACTCAGGGCCCACAGTAGGGAGACTTGTAAAGCCTGAGGGAGGAAGGCAACTAGTTGAAAGTAACAAAATAAAAAGGAACACAGGAAATACTGTAATCACTAGCTGTGGGGGAAGTACCCTGCCTGGGACACAGAGCAGCTCATTTCCACCTCAGACCTTCTTCTAGTTACTGTGTTTGCCAGGGAAGCTTTTCCGCCCTTCAGGCCACAGCTCAAACTACTTCTTCTCCAGTGAGGCTTCCTCAGTCACTAACCCTCTACCTATCCCTAGTCACTAACTTATCACATTTGGCTTGTTTTCTTTTCTTAAAAGTTCATATGAGCCGGAGAAATAGCTCAGTAGAATAAGCGTTTGTCTGGCAAGTGCAAGAGCCTGAGTTCAGTCTCTGGTTCTGCCAAAATAAAATTAAATAAATAAAAGTTCATATGAGAGATCACAAACCACTTCTATAAAAGGCCAGACTACTGGGCACAGTGACAAACATGAAGACTGCTGTCAAGTTCCAGGCTAGCTTGAGTTATAGTGGGTTCAAGGCCAACCTAGCTTCAGAGTGAGACCTTGTCTCAAAAAAAGAGAGGTCAGATTACTGCATCCAAGCCAAATCCAGGCTGTTTCATGTTTTTGAGTAGCTCTGATCTAAGAATGTCTTTACATATTTAAATGGCTAGGGAAAATGTTTTAAAAGAATATTTCATGACATGAAAATTAAATAAAATTCATTTCACTGCCAAAGTTTATTTGGAAAACAGATGTACCAGTTTACAAAACTAGCCCTGAAAGGATCTTGTCTCTCCACCTGTTTGTGGTGCCTCCTTCCTTCCCATACACAAAAAATAAAGCTTAGAGAGGGTAGCGGTCTTATCCGTCTTGTTCCCAAACTACAGCCCAGTACTTAAGAATTCTAGAACAAAGTGAGGGCTCAATAAATATTTCATGAGTAAATTAATAAGTGGCCGATAAATGTCACTCTGAGGAATTTAAACTTAAGTCCTCAGACATTATAGGTTTTATAATATGCATAAAAACCTTGCAAAAGTGGCAAAATATTCTAGTAGAGAGAACCACACAGCTTAATGTAATGATGGTCACCATCAAAGTGTAGACTACAAGGTCTTGTGATCAAAAAAGATTCTCTCAATCACTGCATGGTGGCACAGCAGGGTCAACTGATGGTGTTCCCAATTATTTTAAGATGCTAATACAGTACTGAGAAATCTCATTTCCTATACCTAGTACACAGCACCAATATCATGTTAAATATTAATAAATGCTCACAATTTCAACACATCTAGATCATATCCTAATGAATTTCCAGTATGTAAATCTTTCCTATGCTGCTGATCAACAATCTATTCTATAAGCAGCTGAAAATTTTTTAGAAATTAAAAGGTTACCACCCACAGATGAAAAGCAGCTTTTTAATCTTTTTATGCTAGCCAGAGAGTGGGTGTGTGATTT